CAGTAGAAGGCTTCCGAAAACCATCCAAAACATGCTTCCGAGCCGGCCCGGGAAATCCGGAGCCTCTAAACCCCAAAAACACCTGCAGTACATCCCCAAGCCCTGAAACCTACATCCCCGAGCCCTGCATCCCTAAACCCTCCAATGCCCTTAGACTTTAAGCTGTCAAAATCGTCTTCCGCAACCCCTCAGAAAATCTGATTCCCTGAACCCTCAAACCCCCTACAGTAGAAGCCAGGAAGCTGGAACATCATTATCCTCATGCTCTTAAGGTAAAGTATAGTGAATCCTAGCACTAATCATCCTTGATCCATGTTCCAACTTTCTGGGATCCACCGTAAAACCCCATAAGCATCCCTGGGTCTAAGTCCCCGACATTGCACCCTAAACCCCTAAACCACCCCCCCACAACCCTACACCCTGAAAACTCCCAAACCCCTAAACCCCAAACCTGAAAGCCCCAAAACCCCAGAAGCATCCGTGGGTTCCTTATGATAGCTACACTTTAATGCCCCCCCCCCCCCCCCAAAAAAAAAAAAACATCAAGCGGCATCCTTTGGAGAGGCAGCAGCTGGCTGCCGAGCTCCAAGCCGGGGCTGAGCTCCAGAGTCGCCTGGAGAAGGCAACTTTGTACTATATGGGAGTTTCCAAGAATTAGGGGTACCATATTTTTGGGGTCCTTATAATAAGGATCCTACTATTTAGGGTACTATATTAGGGTCCCCTATTTTTGAGGCTTCCTTTCAGGGCTTAGGGTTTTCGGGGTGTTTAAGGAGTTTAAAAGAGGTCTGTAAGGGTTACCATAAGGGATCTATGAGGGTACTAGAATCATTATAAGGTTTCCTTTCAGGGTTTAGGGTTTAGGGTTTCTGGGGTGGTTTTGGGGTTTCGGGTTTAGGGTTTAGGGGCACTATAAGGGTTCCTTTAAGGGCAGGGTTCCCATAAAGGGAGCGATAAGGGCTCTTTTAGAGGATGCTACAAGGGTTCCTTTCAAGGGATCTATGAGACTTTCCGGGTTTAGGGGGTGTAGGGTTCAAAGCGTTTCAAGGGTTCCAAGGTCTAAAGGGTCTAAGCCCGGGGATTAAAGGGTTCAAGGGTTTAGAAGGGTTGGAAGGGTTCACATGTTTTTGGGCTTTTGTTTTGTAAAGTTTTAGGGTTTGAGGGCTTTTAGGGTTGAGGGTTTGGTACGTCTGTAATATCATGCGCAAGGAGAGGTGCATACAGATACTGGTAGCAGCGGGTGGAACGGACACATGATGCCGAATAGCTTGGCCCTGCACTTCGAGAGCCAACGTCATAATTGTTGTGCGCACAGGACTTTGGCGGAAGCAGCGGGTAAAGAATTGACAAATGTATGATCTTGGAGAGCGCCAGGGATTCGGAGTCCCCAGTGGACAGAGCCCTCGTGGGTTGAGGAGGTGATAATGAAAAAGGTTGGTCCAACCGCTAGGATTCGATCAACATGGAGGGGGGGTTACCGTTACATGTATATCATATAATTGACAATGCGTTTTTCAATGTCTATATGTATGTAGAGATAGGTATACGCACACATGCAAAAAAGAGAGCGATATACCATATATATATATATATATGTATATACACACATACTATAATACAGTATTGCATAGTTTTGGGGTTATGCTCTACAACAGAAGGCCAGTGTATGGCTGTATACCTAGTTTAGTTTAGATCTTATACACGGAGCATCATGTCACAGAAGCTTGCCTTTCGTTTCAATAGTCAGAACTTGTTCTGCCAGAAGGCTTAGGGGTGTGTGGGGGGGGCCCCCAAAGAGGTGGCCACTCTGGGCCCGTTTTTGAGGGCTGGGCACGCCGGGCCTTTGTTTGGCTGGTGGGTTCCTAGACCACCCTCCAATGGAGAAACGAGCCCCCCATGATTCTCATGATGCTCGCCTGCCGGCGCCAATTGGGATCCCAGGATGCTCATGATGCGCTTAGCTGCCTTAGCTTCTTTGAGACGCCTAGCTTCTTCTGTGTGACCGTTGTCTTTTTCAGCGATTTTAAGATACAGGGTCTAGGGCTTTGAGTTGCGCAAGGGTTGTGTATGACCCCGTTCGTTTTCTTCTGTATGCTCCTTGGAAACTGAAACAGCTGTGTATGACACCATTCGTTGTCTTTTTCAGCGATTGAAAGATACAGGGTCTAGGGCTTTGAGTGCGCAAGGGTTGTGTATGACCCCGTTCGTTTTCTTCTGTATGCTCCTTGGAAACTGAAACAACTGTGTATGACACCATTCGTTGTCTTTTTCAGCGATTTTAAGATACAGGGTCTAGGGCTTTGAGTGCGCAAGGGTTGTGTATGACCCCGTTCGTTTTCTTCTGCATGCTCCTTGGAAACTGAAGCAGCTGTGTATGACACCATTCGTCGTCTTTTTCAGCGATTTTAAGCTACAGGGTCCAGGGCTTTGAGTGCGCAAGAGTTGTGTATAACCCCGTTCGTTTTCTTCTGTATGCTTCTTGGAAACTGAAACAGCTGTGTATGACACCATTCGTTGTCTTTTTCAGCGATTTTAAGATACAGGGTCTAGGGCTTTGAGTGCGCAAGGGTTGCTTATGACCCCGTTCGTTTTCTTCTGTCTGCTCCTTGGAAACTGAAACAGCTGTGTGTGACACCATTCATTGTCTTTTTCAGCGATTTTGAGATACAGGGTCTAGGGCTTTGAGTGCGCAAGGGTTGTGTATGACCCCGTTCGTTTTCTTCTGTATGCTTCTTGGAAACTGAGACAGCTGTGTATGACACCATTCGTTGTCTTTTTCAGCGATTTTAAGATACAGGGTCTAGGGCTTTGAGCGCGCAAGGGTTGTGTATGACCCCGTTCGTTTTCTTCTGTATGCTTTTGGAAACTGAGACAGCTGTGTATGACACCTTTCGTTGTTTTCAGCGATTTTAAGATACAGGGTCTAGGGCTTTGAGTGCGCAAGGGTTGTGTATGACCCCGTTCGTTTTCTTCTGTATGCTCCTTGGAAACTGAAACAGCTGTGTATGACACCATTCGTTGTCTTTTTCAGCGATTTTAAGCTACAGGGTCTAGGGCTTTGAGTGCGCAAGGGTTGTGTATGACCCCGTTCGTTTTCTTCTGTATGCTCCTTGGAAACTGAAACAACTGTGTATGACACCATTCGTTGTCTTTTTCAGCGATTTTAAGATACAGGGTCGAGGGCTTTGAGTGCGCAAGGGTTGTGTATGACCCCGTACGTTTTCTTCGGTATGCTCCTTGGAAAGTGAAACAGCTGTGTATGACACCATTCGTTGTCTTTTTCAGCGATTTTAAGATACAGGGTCTAGGGCTTTGAGTGCGCAAGGGTTGTGTATGACCCCGTTCGTTTTCTTCTGTATGCTCCTTGGAAACTGAAACAACTGTGTATGACACCATTCGTTGTCTTTTTCAGCGATTTTAAGCTACAGGGTCCAGGGCTTTGAGTGTGCAAGAGTTGTGTATGACCCCGTTCGTTGTCTTCTGTATGCTCCTTGGAAATTGAAGCAGCTGTGTATGACACCATTCGTTGTCTTTTTCAGCGATTTTAAGCTACAGGGTCCAGGGCTTTGAGTGCGCAAGAGTTGTGTATGACCCCGTTCGTTTTCTTCTGTATGCTTCTTGGAAACTGAAACAGCTGTGTATGACACCATTCGTTGTCTTTTTCAACGATTTTAAGATACAGGGTCTAGGGCTTTTGAGTGCGCAAGGGTTGTGTATGACCCCGTTCGTTTTCTTCGGTATGCTCCTTGGAAACTGAAACAGCTGTGTATGACACCATTCGTTGTCTTTTTCAGCGATTTTAAGATACAGGGTCTAGGGCTTTGAGTGCGCAAGGGTTATGTATGACCCCGTTCGTTTTCTTCTGTATGCTCCTTGGAAACTGAAACAACTGTGCATGACACCATTCGTTGTCTTTTTCAGCGATTTTGAGATACAGGGTCTAGGGCTTTGAGTGCGCAAGGGTTGTGTATGACCCCGTTCGTTTTCTTCTGTATGCTCCTTAGAAACTGAAACAACTGTGTATGACACCATTCGTTGTCTTTTTCAGCGATTTTAAGCTACAGGGTCTAGGGCTTTGAGTGCGCAAGAGTTGTGTATGACCCCGTTCGTTTTCTTCTGTATGCTCCTTGGAAACTGAAACAACTGTGTATGGCACCATTCGTTGCCTTTTTCAGCGATTGTAAGATACAGGGTCTAGGGCTTTGAGTGCGCAAGGGTTGTGTATGACCCCGTTCGTTTTCTTCTGTATGCTCCTTGGAAACTGAAACAACTGTGTATGACACCATTCGTTGTCTTTTTCAGCATTTTTAAGATACAGGGTCTAGGGCTTTGAGTGCGCAAGGGTTGTGTATGACCCCGCTCGTTTTCTTCGGTATGCTCCTTGGAGATTGAAGCAACTGTGTATGACCCCGTTCGTTTTCTTTTCAACGGTTTTAGGGTGTAGGGTCTAGGGCTTTGAGTGCACAAGGGTTGTGTATGAACCCCGTTCGTTTTCGTCTGTATGCTGCTTGGAGACAGCGAAACAACTGTGTATGACCCCATTCGTTTCCATTTTCGACGGTTTTAGGGTGTAGGGTCTGGGGCTTTGGGTGCACAAGTATTGTGTATGAACCCCGTTCGTTTTCCTCTGTATGTTCCCTAGAGACTTTTTCAACGGGTCTAGGGCTTGTGTGCACAAGGGTTGTGTATGACCCCGTTCGTTTTCTTCTGTATGCTCCTTAGAACTTGAAATAACTGTGTATTCCTCAACTCCCAAACTTTCATCCCAGTGATGCTCATGATGCGCTTAGCTTTTCTGCGTACGCTCTTCAGTCATGCTCACTAAGCCCATGAAGCTAGAGCTTTCGTCGCCCCCCTCCGGGTCTCAAATTGTGGACCGCATAAGGCTTGTGCGATGTGAGAGAGCAGTAGCTTCAGGCGCTTTATGAAATTCATGCAGATCGACCGCAGTTCATTACGTATGCCACTGCAGCATTTTACCTTTAAGACGGAATACTGAC